AATATATATATATATATATATATATATATATATATATATATATTGACCATTTGCTACATAGAGACGAATTCTACTCCAGTTGCCGGCCACGCGTTGCAAATGATGCAAATTGGTGCTAAATATTTGTATTTCATCGTACACGGTATTATGGCCAAGCCGCGCGCGTATATATATATAATGGGAAAATGTTTAATTATTAAATTGCGTTATCAATGCGCGCTGGTCCTCGTATTTAATTAATCGGAATCGATTGACGTCGTAACGGCGGAAGGGGGGAGGGGGAGGAGAAGCGGGGGATACGGCGGCGATATTGCGTTGAACAGCACTTCGACGGCGTCCGAATTTAATTGCGGAATCGTAAAGGCATAATTTTGCAGTTATCGCAATACGGCGCGACGCCGCTCTCTCCACCGGGCGCATACCAACGCGGTATGCGACCGCGCTGCTAAACCCACAATAATCTCAACTCGTTCCCGAAGTGAACGAGGCGGGTGCGATTCTGGGGCGATCTGCTATCCTGCGAGATTCCACGCCCGCGGATTTCGACGCTGCGGGCGCACACCGCCGGGAGAGGAGAGGAGCCCACGGTGCCGCGCGTCCTTTGCATTGCGGCCGGGTTAATGCTCGACGTCTGCTGCCCCACACCGCCGCGCCAAACCAGTAGGACTTCGAATTACAATGGAAGCATGAGAACGCCCGGGACTCAGACATGCGACACGGTTGCTCGATCGGGGGATCTGTGCAGCGTGTTGCGAAGTGCTCGCGTCAGGCGTCTCTTTGTGTTGCACCACCTATCGTGCAAATCGCACGAAAACTGCTGCGATTCCTCCTCTCTCGTAACGTTTCGAACGCGATGTGACTATGGTTCAACGACACCCTGGCATGGTTCCGTTCAGCATCGCTTCAGCACGAAATTATTATGTATGTTTACCAGAAAATGAAACATTCATCAATGACTTAATGATCAATGACCATGATAGATAATGTACTTAACGTAAGATACATTTTCTCCTTATATTACATCGTTTGCTCTCATAATTTTTGATTTATGATATTCACACGCAACGCAATTGTGTGATTCTGCCGGGGATGGTAAATATTTTAGAACAAGAGAGGACTCTTGAATCGGTAAGTGTTCGATCAGGAAACGATCGACCTCGTTTTATTTTGATACACTGACGGGGGTGTAAGAAAGAATGGCGTCTATCTGACGTGCCGTGCAAAATCGATCAAAACTAGGAAGATAAAAATTTTTCATTGGCGATTCCTTGCTTTTGAATACTAAAATGAGCATAATGTAATCTTTACTCTCTCCTTCTCTAC